GCCTTTTGCTAAAGTGAGTAAATACTTGTTGAATGCTTGAGTAATGAATTCAATGAGTCACATAAAATGGACATATATAAACTTAGCAGGCACATAGAGGATGCTCATGTTGAGATATATTCAGAGTGGACTGCTCTACCCGCGCTCCCTCCTACTCTCCTTCCCTTCCACAGACAATGCTTGCTTTATGCCAGGCATTATACTTGACCATGGGCACATCAGACACAGTTCCCTGTTATCATGAAGTCTGTAGTCTCATAGATGAGATCAACAAACAGATGCACTTGTGGTCAGAGTGATGTGCAGGACTCTAAAGGCAGTGCAGGTAAACTAGGAAAGAACTGGCTGAGCTTATGTCCCTGAACTGACTCTGAGGGACAAGTAACAGTTAGCCTCTTGCTAACCAGCTCCATGGTGAATACGGGTCAGACCGTGAGACAGTCTTGTGGTTGACCTGAGTGACTGCAATAAGCATAAAAAGGTGATCTGCCTGGAGCTTTCCATCCTTGATCAATCACCATCTATATTATATAAAATGTTACGTAAAAATTACAAAATCTGCAAATTATCTGAGAAACCTCATACTACTCTCTCAGGTAAGTGCCTAAAAATGTCAGTCTCATAATAAAATAACAGCTGATTTTATTTGTTTGATCTCTATTAGAGCTAGTAGAAATGATTTATTGATTTTTTTAAAGAAAAATATACTTTAAATGCCACTTTTTTTTGCAAGCAACTTGTTAATAGATGTGGAGTTCTCATATGACCTAAACACACTTCTAGTTACAGAATGTTAACAGTTTTGAAGAAAATCAATAGAATAATCAGAAAACTCATGAAAAGATGAATATGGTACAAAACAATTCCATATCTTGCTGTCAGTATTATGTTTTTTTTTTTTTTAATGGTCAAAGCTTGCAGCTTGTTACATGTTTGCTTGGGTCAGATAAACCTTAATGTCTTTTTTGTTTGGTTTTGTTTTTAATGCCACACCAAATTTGAAGCTAATGCACATAAATGAAGAATGCTCTGAACAGGGCCTCCCTGGTGGTGTAGGGGATTAAGCGTCAGCACTATGAAGCTATCAGCAGCCACTGCAACACGAGTTCCATGTTCCATCCCCAGCCAGAGAGGTGACCCACATGACACAGCAGACCTCTCCTGTCTCTCCCTCTGCTCCCCTCAGCAGTGTATTTCAGTAGATCCACCTGTTCTGCTCCCAACTCTGTCTCTGGTGGATCTTCTCATCCCCCACACCTCTGGCCTGTACCCCAGTTCTTATATTCATAAATAAATAAATCTTAAAAATAAGAAGTAAGGTTAGCAAGATGGCTGCCACCTTGCCTTCCCCCAGGATGGTGGAGAGTGTAAACCCACACCACATACCACCTGCCTCTTCCCTGTTCACTGGATAGAGCAGATAAGTGATTCAGAAAAGGTGTATGTAGTGATTTTATGAGTTGTTATATTACAAAAGATTATTACATTACATTACATAACAATATCACCTAACATTAAATGTTTTATTTACATAATAAGCCACAATTATTAGCACATTGCAAAGTGTTGTGACATCTGCCACCAACTTGGGTTATAGACACAAAGAGAGTATCCTACATCTCGAGTGCCCAGAAGCCTTGTTCATGTGCCTTTGCTGAGTTTCTCCTGATAACTGAGCTCATCACTGATATTAAAAAACCAGTGTGGTTGAGTGTGCTAACTATGCAGTGGAAATGTGTCTTGCTAATGCAAGATTAGAGATGCTGAAAACACTGGCTTATCTAAATGAAAATGTGTATTCTAGCTCCCTACAAGTTATGTTTGGTAAAAGCTTTAACATAAAAATACTCCCAGTAGAGCGTCTAGGCCCACACACGGTAATGGGGGTTTTAGATTAATGTAGCAGAACGGTGCCAAGACAACAATCTTAGTCTAGAACCAGTTCTGCACTGTCTAGTGATTTCTCTGAGTCTCGATTTCTTCATCAGAAATGGCGGCAGGGGGCACTTAACCTCGTTATTTTCAGTTGGTCCCACAGTTAAATGTGAACTCAAATGTCTTTGTTGAAATACAACTAAATCGAGAGCAGTTGCAATTCAACTTTGTTGAAATACAACTAAATCGAGAACAATATCTTCCAGGACTGGAGGGATGTGTGATGCACAGACCAGTATTTTAACACTGAGAACTTGAGCTTTCCACTCATCACTAGTCCTGAGTTTGAACACTTAGTAGTTGGTAAAAGGTCCTTTGTTTATGAGAGCGCTGCTTCTGAGCCCTGTCAGCTAGGTGTGCACTGTGCAAGGTTTTCTAGTTTTCCTTCTAGCAGTGAGGATGGATCCAGGTGGACTCGTCTGCTCTCTCTCACTTGATCTTAGCCAAAAGGCTGAGAAGCGATTGATCTCTCTCTCTGCTCTATATTTTTAGGATCTTTGAGCCCTTCAGCCATCCCTCAGTGTCCAGGGAGTGGTGGCTCCTTCAGAGCAACTGGCCTGGCTAGAACCTAAAACCATAAGTTATGCTGAGAGTCATATTGTTCCCGTTCCAATCCTCTCCTTCCTTTACTATATGACCTTGGGAAGGAGACTTCACCTCTGTGCCTTAGGCCTTTCAAATGTAAAAGGAAGAAATAGATAGTCCCACTCTTAGAGCGAAAAATCTCGAGCCTTTTGAACTGTCTGATGCACAGTAAGTTCTCCACATTGACAACTGTTCTCAGTTTATTTCTACATGACATGGGGAAAGGACCTGTGTCCTCCTGGTGCCATGACCCTCTCGTGACCAACTGAAGGGAGAATTAGGGAGAAATGAGGAAAGAGCGCCCAAAAACCTCTGTGTGAGCAGGAAGGATGGTGCTTAAGCCATTCCTGGAGATTGATGTTTATGCTCCTCTTACAGCTCTTTAGGGAATAAAATTACCTCTCCCTTTCACTAGCCTAATTCAATGTCTGACAACTTCTCTCACTCGGGAAGTTATTCCTTCTGTGTGGCTTAATTACCTATTGTTGCAGTTTCAATTTGGGGTGAAGGAGAGGATAGTGTCCTGACTGAGATAAAGGATCTGCCCCAAACCTATTGAGTTGGACTCCAGCACTTGCTCTGGGTGCAGGACTGGCTGAAACACTGTGTGGGGGTGCCCCAGAGGTGCTGTGTGGGGGTGCTTTTGGGGCTTTGAGTGTAGAGGCTGTGGGGAGGGACCAAGGACAGTGGGTGGGGGCTGGCGCTGAGCCACGACCTGGAATACTTCTAGCTCCAGCATACCCTGAGCAGCTTCCTATTTACACTTTCTCTGCACTTGGATGTGAAATTTCACCAAGAAGAAGGGTTGCAGATGAAAGAAAAATCAGGAGGCTCTGTATGTCACCAACAAGCCACCTGCCAGGACCTGTCACTTGGCAACTGACTCAGTTGCTTCTTTCTCAGCTCTTCTGTGCTGCATGTTTGAAAGTGACTGTGTGTGTGTGTGTGTGTGTGTGTATGCATGAGCTCGTGACCTCCTTTTCTCAGGGTGATGGTGGGAAAGGGAGGATAAATAGGAAAATTTATGGGGAGAGGAACTTTATAATCCAAAGCATCACTATTATGAGACTGAAAAAAGCTCCCTTTAATGTATTTGACGAAATGACCTGGTCTTGTATAGGTGGGTCCCCTGGGAATTAATGGGGGGTTCATCTTTATCTAGCCTCTGTGATGGGGTAGCAGTGATTGAAACCCAAGGTTGAGAGTAGAACCTTTTGGCACACCCTGACCTAATAAAACAGGTTTGGAGGGATATTGATCAAAATAAAGGGGGTGATTATAGATGGTGTGTGGGGAGGTTCGTGCCCACTGAGTGCAGTGCAGCAAGACACCTGCAAGTTTTTCCAGCCAAACCCTGTTCAGGGTGATGACAGAGCAAGATGTTCAGGCTCCTGGAGCATGCATTCTTGCCTCTGACAGACCACTGAGTTGTGTGCTGGTTTTTTAGTAATGGCTCCAGAGGATAGCCTTGGAGCACAAGAAAAGTCCAGAAGGAAACTCCTCTACCAGTCTGAACCACAGAGATGGGTCCAGTTCCTTCCCCAGAGATGTGACAAGAACGGAAGCATCACTCCAGACTGTGTGAATAGGAGGAAACTGTTTCTGAAAGCAGTAGTGACCTCCAAAGACATGTTCACACATGACATGAGAATCCTCCCAACACCTGATATTAATTCCTGATGAATGTAAATTTCTCTTTGGTTAGTCAGTGGCCTTCCCCTGTTGAGCAGTTACTCTGATGGAGACACTTGGGTTTAGGCTGCGGATGGCTTCAATTCTAATTCTGCGTGATTCTGTCTGGCACTTTGCATAGTTACCTAACTTATTCCTTACCGCCACCTGCCAAGGGGTGGCTTCTCCATTATACAGATGAGGAGTCTAAGATTTGGAATTTTAGGACTCCCTGATTCTTGGTTTAGTCAGTGATAGGGTATATGTATAATTGATTGTAAGAGCTGAAAGCAGAAGAACCAGATGCCAGCTCACTGGCAATAATTGGGCCAATACCAGCTTTGTATATCACTGATTTGCTCTATCAAACTGACCTCTTCCCTGTTTCTGCAGCTGAAATCTCTCCCTCCCTCCCTTCACTCTTCCTCTATCTCTCTCTCTGTCTGTCTGTCTGTCTGTCTGTCTCTCTCTCTCTCTCTCTCTCTCTCTCTCTCTCTCTCTCACACACACACACACACACACACACACACTGTAAGATTTCTTCTTCAAAATGTTTGATAAGTGAGCAGCAACCATGGATCATGAGCCACAATGCATTGGTTACCCCAGGTACATTTTTCTCTCACCTCAAACACTGACCCCAGCAGACTGTCCTACTGCTGAGCAATGCTTGCTCTAAGTGCTTGTTGCGCCTTAATAGATGAATTAATAAATGAGTGATGGAGAGTGGAGTGGTGGTAGGAGGGGCGATATCTCTTTGTGGGTAAACTCACCTTTCTCCCCGCGCGTCTGTTGTCCTCTCTTCCCAGGGAGGCATGATCGCCCTGCTGCTGTCCATCCTGTGCCTGGTGATGATCCTGTACACTCGCCGGCGCTGGTGCAAGCGCCGCCGTGTCCCCCAACCCCAGAAGAGTGCCAGTGCTGAGGCTGCCAATGAGATTCACTACATCCCGTCAGTGCTGATCGGTGGGCATGGCAGGGAGAGTCTGCGCAACGCCCGCGTTCAGGGCCACAACTCCAGTGGCACCCTGAGCATCCGGGAGACACCCATCCTGGATGGCTATGAGTATGACATCACTGACCTGCGCCACCACCTGCAGAGGGAGTGCATGAACGGAGGGGAAGACTTTGCCAGCCAGGTCACACGCACCCTGGAGTCCCTGCAAGGCTGCAATGAGAAGACAGGAATGGACCTCACTCCAGGTGGGGAGCGCAAGGGCCAATTTGGTGCTTCCTCGCAGGGAGCCTCTGGAGTGGCTCAGGAACAGATGTTTTCTAATTTTATGCCTGGTTATCATATATAGGAGGATGTGCCCGTGCCCCTTCCCAGGTGGACAGGAAGAGTCAGCTTTTCCCTGACGTAAGGGGAGCTGTTTTCTAATGTAGGAAATCAGAAGAGCAAGTGTAAATTGGATCCCTCTCCACTTCCTAGTCCACAAAGTAAATGTGTAAAATAGCCTGGGGTTACAAACTCAGATGCATTCAGGGAGCAGGTGCATCTGTAAAGTAGCTGGGTGTCAGACAGTGGGGCATGGTGTAGACTGTGGTGAACAAGAAAGCACATGTTCCACTTTGCATGGGAAGCAGAGATTTTTTTTTCCATCCAACAGAAGAGTGGGTTAGAACCTTTTTATATATAATGAACAATCTGCTGGGAAATAAGGAGATAGCAAGAAGGAGCAGCATGTGTGTCTGAGATGTTTGTATACATACAGCACATTTTCTTAAGCAATTTAAGTAGCCACTGAAGTAGAGGGGACCAAGGTCTTCGTTCTTTGCTATGATTCCTGAGACTTTGGCCTGGGGCGTGTTAGTTGTGTTCTCTTCTCCATTCCTCTGTGGTCTTTACGAGGGAAGTACTTCTTCAAAGAAAGTAAAGGGCTGTAATCAAGCTGTCTGACCTCAGATGCTTTGTGTGTCAGTGGAGAGATACTGGGTGGCAGAGACTTGGACCTAATCCAGCTGAATAAGACAGGGGTCAACAAAATGCAGAGCGGGAACGACTGTATCTGTCTTTTTCAGTAGCCCACCTGTCTCTCTCAAATGCCTATAAATAAGCAACTAATCTGCAGATAAAACCCCAGGGCAGTGATCTTTCAAGGAACCACCCAATTATCTTTGAAGAAGACATTTTTGATACTGAATATGAAGATATATGAAATTTCAGTGAAACTACATCATAGAGGTTTCCATTCTGTTTGTTTTCTAGAAGTGATCTTATATGACTAGTCACTCCCTTAAAAGATTTACAGTCTGGAATCTCGCCTTGAGAATATGGGACATGACTTCAATATCTCATATTCTCCATAGCACCTGTCATAGTGCCAGGTCCACAAAGTTAGTGTGTAAAGTAGCCTGGGGTCACAAACTCAGTTGCATTCAGGGAGCAGGTGCATGTGTAAAGTAGCTGGGTGTCAGACAGTAGGGCATGGTGTAGACTGTGGTGAACAAGAAAGTGCATGTTCTGCCTGAATACACTCAGTTCAAATCCTTTCAAAAAGATGTGCTGGCCAAAAGGAAGAAATCTGTGATCTGTGTCTAGTCAAAGGGCCACACACGGTGACCTTATCAATACAAAATTGGTTGAATTGGAAGCAGTTATAATCACTTACTTCACTCCATCTCTTATAAATTTGTGTTCCCCCAGAAATCAAAGAGGAATATTTCAGTCTCTGCCAAGCTCTCACTTTAAAGGTTTTATATTTCAATTCTGTGAAACTCCATCTACTTGGTTCATGCAAATTCCCCTGTTCTCACTTTCGTTTGGCCTTTTCTGTTAAAATTTTTGCCTTGACTTTTCCTTATACAGGAAGTGACAATGCCAAGCTGTCTCTGATGAACAAGTACAAAGATAACATCATCGCCACCAGCCCCGTGGACTCCAACCACCAGCAGGCCACTCTGCTCTCCCACACCTCCAGCAGCCAGAGAAAGCGGATAAACAACAAAGCAAGAGGTATAATGTGTGATGTTAGGGTGTTAAGGCTTGTCTGAGGGTTCCTGAATATGGGGGGAGAGAGGGCCATTAATATCTCCAATCCCTGCTCTCAGATAGGACTAGAGGGGTATCCTGGAAGTCTTTCTGGAAGCCTGTTGAGAGCTCCTTACCCAGAAATCCAAACATGCAAACCTTTTGACCAAATAATTTCAACAACAAATTTTTTTTCCCTTAGGAAATAATTGGGAAAACATGCAAAGATATGTGTAAAAGGCTGTTCATAATATCTTTGTTTAAAAGAGCGAAAAATTGGAAGTTGCTTAAATGTCCATCAGTAGAGAATTAGTTAACTACCTGCACATCTGTCTACTGTCCAGTGGCTCACATGTGGCAATCTAAGGTGATAATATAGATCTATATGTGCTAATTTGGATAGTTGTCCACCCATCTATTAAATGGAAAAAATGGGACTGCAAGATAGAAGGTACAGCAGAATGCTATTTATAAGGAGGGATTTAAAAGCCTTTTTCAGTTTCTGCATCTGAGAAAGATAGAGAGTATATACATCAACTGTTAGCAGAGTTTTCCTCTGACTTGATGGACATCAAGTTGCTCTGTGCTTATTTTGAGTATTTTCTTTACTTTTTCTTCTCTTTTTCACATTAATTAATTATTTTAGAATCAGGAAAAAAAATACAAAAATGTCATGTTATATGCCCCTTAGAATTCTCATATTAAAACAACCAGAATCACGACCTGTCACTGGGCTATCTGCCTTCCACATCTCCAACCTTCCATCATGAAGGTACGCTCTGGCAGGTAGCTGCCCTGAATGGGTGTCCTGAGCAGGTGCTTGGGTGACAGGAGCAGGACCCCTGGGATTGCCGTCACATTAAGCTCTACTTCTCCTATAAATCTATATATCGGGAAGCCCCAGTCCCCAGGGCTACTCCTCTCAGCGTGTCAGTCAGCCCATTCTCTGAGCAAATGATAATTTGTTATTATGAAGACAGAGCTGACAATCTCTTAGCCATGCTCCTTTTCCTTACAGCTGGATCTGCCTTCCTGAACCCTGAAGGTGATTCTGGCACTGAGGCTGAGAATGACCCCCAACTGACCTTTTACACTGACCCCTCCCGGAGCCGGAGGCGCAGTAGAGGTAGGAAGGAAGGTGGAGCAAAAGGGGGAGGATTGGGGATTGAGGGTTGGGGAAGGCAGGAGCTGAGGGGATGCTAGGTCCGATGGGGACTCAGTGGGGGCTCTGCAGTTTCTGCAAGAAGAACTCTTGGACCACAATTGGTGTTTCCTCCTAAGGAAGAAAGAAGAGCTCAGAGTGGAAAATTTCAGAGAATCATCTCTCCCAGATAATGGCACTCTCAAACGAGTTTCCAAGTTGTTTGAAAGGCTATTTCTTGGTCAGAAGACTCTCAATTCCTTCTGGAAGACTCAGGAGTCATATTTTGCTGTTTAGATACAGGAAATAAAGTTGATAAAGTGTGTTATAGGTGAAAAATGGACAGCATATATTCTTGCTTACCTGGCTACATAGGCCTTAGGATTGAACTAGGCAGGCATTGGGGGTGGGGAAGTTGAGGAATAATCTGTTGCCCATAAAACAAGCATAATGGTATTCAATCTTTAGTCCCTGCCTAAGTGAATTTTAGGACCCCAAGCCTTCAAGTCCCCTCCTTTCTTCTGGTGGGTCCAAGTCAGCATTGACAGAGGTATCTTTCCATGCAGAAACTAAATGTGCCACTAGAGCTTGATGCTTAGTGACTTCAGGTGGCTGTGGGGGCCACTACCCATGACATTGCTACTTTAACCATCATCACCGAAGGAGGTCCAGGTTCAAGCACCAGTGAGCTTCACCATTTCCTTGCTGTGTGATTTTGGAAAAGGACATCTACTTTTCTGAGCCTTACTTTCTTCACTTTTTGAATGGGTAATATCTGACACATAGGGTTCCTGACACTATTATTTTATATTAAAATGTACTTTTTTTCTTAGCTGGAAGAGCACTATGAAATCCCTGTTGGTGTTACTCTTAGAACACTCCACAGAAGAGCTTCAGGTTTCCCTAAAACCCATCTTAATGAATTGTGGACAGGGAGGGACCCTGAACACAAAATATTGGACACTGTATCCCCTGGATACAGTGAAGGATGTTGGAGCAACCTCACCTTGTGGTGTGCTCAGTAGCACTTTCCCCAAACCATCCTCAGTCAGCAGCCCTCCAAAGACACCCACATTTTGACTCTCTCCTACCTCTACTTGAGTTCCTTTCATACTGAGGAGATTCTTCCCAGAGATTCGAAGAAGCCTTTAATTCCTCTATTTTAGTTTCTGTAGCTTCCCTGATATCAATACGAAAGTTCTTCTTGTCATTTTTCTCAAGTAATCAGTGGGGCCAAATGTCTGCCCCCACAGTGCATCTCCTTACAACGTAGAAGTATTCCTCTGAGATGCAGTTCTCTTCATGCATCTGCTGCTTATTGTCATTAACTAGATGGTAAGCTTCTTAGGGATGGGCATGTCTCATTTATTTTTCCAAAGCGCCCAGTGAAGGATTTGCCAAGAATAGATGCTTATGTTTATTGAATGGAATTGGAAACATCAATCGTTTCAGCAAGACATTTTATAACCCACCTGCTATGGCTCAGGATTTGTCATCAGTGGTCGAAACATGGCACACTGATAAGACTTAACTTAGCAACATAAATAAATTAAAAGGCCTACTCAGAAGAGAAAACAGTTAATTCTGTGTGGTAACAGCAGGAGGCAAAAGGAGAGAATAATTAGAACTGGGCTGTACACAATCTATAGAATTTCTTTAAAGAAGAGAATCCAGGATAAGGGCATCCCAGTAGAGGAAGACAGAATACAAAAAGCCTCCAAGGCACAAAAGAACTTAGTATTGCTCGAGCAAGTCAAAAGAATTTAATATGGCAGCTGTAGTCTGGGGTATAAATATACAGGCCCAGAGGATAGTAGGCATGGTGCAGGGTCACCGCTACCAAAGGACCACATTTATGTCTTTTTTCTGAGTTTGCACTTGGTTGTGTAGGAAACCAGTTCTACAGGGAACCACTGCAATTTTGTAATCAGGAGAGATGCTGAGTGATGGGTTGATGATGCAGAAGAACCAGAGAGACAAGATGATCAGTGGCGAGTTTCTGCAATCACAGGAGAGCAGTGGCAAGTGCACGAGAACAGTGACAACACTTGTGATAAGGGCTGTAACAGCAGCGTGCGCCGAGGGCTGAGTGAGAATCTGTTCTTGAAGCTTTCAGGAAAGTGTTTACTGGGAGATGTTGTTTGAATCAAGACGTGAAGAGTAGGTGTACACCAAGTTGACAAGGTGACAAAATGGCATCCTGTGGAGGAGGAAATAATGTGTGCAAAGTCACAGACATAAATGATAATGGTCTAGTCAGAGAGCAGTTAAGAGTTTACTAGAATGAAGCTTTAGGTGCAGATTTGTGGGTTGCTTAGGAAATAAGGGTGGGATGTCAGACGAAGCCAGAGAGAATGTGACCTGGACAGCAAGGACTTGAACACAACAGTTCAGGTGGTTTCATGGGAAGCTTTTAAAGCATTATTCTGTCCTACTCTGCTTGGGGAAGGACATCACCCCCCCAGAAACAGTGGGGGGATTGTTGAAGGAGGGGGAAGTTGAGGCAGGGAGGCCAGGTGAATAGCAGGTGCCATAGTCCAGAGGTGAGATGATAGGGTAGGGACGGATGGAGAGTGTGCAGGCAAGAGAAATATTGGACACAAAGTAAAAAAAAAAAAAAAAAAAAAAAAGATTTAATGGCCCTGGGCATGGAGAATTTGTAGCCTAGGCAAGAGAAAGGAGAGTTAGACATGATGGAGTTTTCAGATTTGAGAAACCAAGTCATTAAAAGTCCATTCACTAGACAAAAGAGCCAGGAAGGGAGTGAGGTTTGAGGGAAGGTGGAGGGTCCAGTTTTGGAAATTGCACTTGAATGCCTGCAGGATGCCTGATCTGCCACTCAGGGCTGGGCTGGGCTACAGGTGGTGAGCTGTAAGTGTGAGGAAGCAGATTCCATTTTGAAAGAATAATTACATGAGAAGAAATCTCTAAGTAGAAGGGGATAGAGGACCCAAAGCTGCCTGCCACCTTTGAGTCCCTTCCAGCTATTCCCAACATATCCACTCAGAAGATCTGCCCATGAGAAATGAGCCCATAGAAGACCAGAACAGACATAAACCAAAAGCCAACCCCCTTTCCTGAGAACAGCGGTTCCAAAGACTCCACTGGACCAGAGATTGATAGTGTGTTGTGTCTGGGGACCATGGCCTCAGCGGCTGTATCTTGATCCCAGCTCTAGTCTTTAGTAGCTTCTTGAACTTGGCCATGTCTGCTGGCCTTTTTGACTCCCTGTTCCTCTGTGGGAACTGCTTTGTGAGATTATGTTCATTGTTAAATGACAGGAGCGCTGTAAAACCCTGAGCACTGGTGCCTGGTGCCTGCTCACACTACCTAAGTGTCCTCTACCACTGTGAGGTTATTCTCACTGATATGTATGTTCCTTATCTCTAAGGTGGGCGATACTTTACAGACTCAGATTTATTACTTTAAGGAACAGGTGTTTTTACCTATAGTCTTGAAACATACAACACGCTTAGCACACCGTCTACCTTAAAAGATGCCTTTCATTAACATCAGTATTAAATTTTAACATAGAGCACAAGAAAATTCCAAAGGATCCACACATTTTGTTGGCAACTTGTCTTACTTTCTGACTTTCCACATCTGTTTTGCCTCCATGTGAAAGGGCCTCTCCTTACTGCCATTTTATCTTCTCTACAAATGAAATCAAACAAAGGAACAAGAAAATAAACTCCATCGAAATAGTCTTTTCCCATTCCTGTTTCTACCCTCCTGGGAGTGTTTCTAATTCCCCTGCATTGTTATTCACTCACTAAGCATCCATTTATAACCTAACCCCAAAGACTGCAAGACTAGGGAGAGCCTTGCAGTGTGACGGCTGTCTCCACTACACTCATACAGAGCTGTCTTCCCCCTGTCTAGACCCTGCAGTGAGAGTCACCTGGTAGGACTCTACCCTCCATAGGGTGCAGGCAAACTCCCCAAGCTCAGGTAGTTTCAGCTCCAGAAGTGGAGGGGCTGCTTTCTGAGCACGCCCCCTGTGAACAGTGCTGGGAGTGCAAGGACTTAACTCCTGGGCTTCAAGCACTCCTGCACCCTTGGGTGAGGGTCAGCACTCAGGCAGGAGTGTGGAGAAAGAGAATGTGCTCCTTATGACTTGTGACCCTGGCCCAGGCGGAGTGCAGAGGGCTCACGCTGACCATTGTTGTCCCTGAGGTCACTGGTTGGCCAAGTCCCCTCTGACTCTTACGGATGACCTGGTGCTCAGGGAGGATGAAGGTCAAAAAGGTCATCCAGCTTACCTGCCTTGGCTAGGTTTGCCAGCTGCCTCCCCTGTTTGCCCAGTTGGGCAACAAAGGGCCAAGGCGGAGTTTCACTGCCAGTATTTTTACCACCATGGGTTTTGCTTTTGTCTTGCTCGCAGTGGGATCTCCCCGGAGCCCTGTGAACAAGACCACCTTGACGCTGATCAGCATCACCAGCTGTGTGATTGGCCTCGTGTGCTCCTCCCACGTCAGCTGCCCCCTCATTGTCAAAATCACCCTGCACGTCCCCGAGCACCTGATTGCTGATGGTGAGTCCACTTCTGAGGTTGCAACTTCCTCTCCTAAGAGAAAGGTTTTCAGGTTGGGCAAGGAAGATATAGAGAAGCCAGGGGTCGCTGATGCCTATGACTACAAGTGAGGAAAACAAATAAACCCAGATAGTAAGGTTTAGAACAAAATGGATTGTCCACAGATGAAAGCATGAAACAGGCTTAAAAAAAAAAAAACTGAACAAATCGCCTCCTCTTCTCTGTACCCACTCCTATTCTCTATTTTTGTTTGTTTTTATATAAGCCCTATTTTTGTAGCAAAATACAGGGCATTCTGGCCATAGGTAGACAGCAAGATTCTTGCAGCCTGGGAGTCGGGGGGAGCTAAGTGAGTAGTGGAGGCATTCAAGGATTAGCCATTTTTGGTTTGATGTGCCCAGGTGAGAAATCCCTAATTACAGTGACTTGCTACAAGCCTGAAGCTCTGAAGCAATAACTACTTTCATTCAGGGGAACCCCAATAGAATGGGGGAGTAACATAGGTTCTGAGAGTCCCTGAGTTAGCAAAGCCCACAGCACCTAATTGACTTGTTAATGTCTGTTCTCTGGGTTGCCGAAGGCTGCCAACATGTGGCGACTGTGTGGTGTTAGAGGCCCTGCTATTTCATGGCAAGTGAAGACAGGCAGCAGGTCCCTGTTCCTTGGACGAGGGCCAGTGCCTGTGGCTGGGTCTGATGGAACAGCGCCACACCATCACAGAGCCGTTCTGCTCCTGTGTCCCTTGGGTCCTCCCTGGAGGATGGGCTGGGGCAAGGCAGTGGGAGACAAGATGGCAGGAGGTCATGGTGTGGTGGCTGAGTCTCCCTCTGCTGATCCCTTGCTTAGGGGCTCATGGTGGGCAAGGACTAGTGGGGGTGATGACTTCAGATTGGGGCTGATCTGCAATGCAACTCTGACACCGTCTTCTGTAACGTGTGTGTGTGTGTGTGTGTGTGTGTTGTGCACACTCGGCATGCCTCCTCTCTCTCCCCTTGCAGGGAGCCGCTTCATCTTGCTGGAGGGGAGCCAACTGGATGCCAGCGACTGGTTGAACCCTGCCCAAGTGGTGCTTTTCTCTCAGCAGAACTCCAGTGGGCCCTGGGCCATGGACCTCTGTGCCAGGCGCCTCCTGGACCCCTGTGAACATCAATGCGACCCTGAAACTGGTAGGCGGGATCACCGGGCAGCGGGTAACTGTCAGAGTTCATGCCTCTTGTGATCACTCACTCCCTTGCAACCCTCCTGATCACCCTATTGCCATTGGGAGCCCAGACCATACCAGCTACCAGTGTGTGTTTGACCCTCTGAGCACGCTACCTTAAATAGCGAGGTCTCTTTCCGGCAGAAGCCTTGGAAGCGTGCTCACAATAGCCCCGCCCAGACAAGTCAGTTCCAGTGTCCTCCATAGCCCATCGGCTATCCAGTTGGGGTATCAGCTACAGGAACTGGACTTTTTAATATATGTTTTTTATTTCTACAAGTCTTTTAACTTGGAAAATATAGAAACGCTATTAGATGAAAATGATAATCATCTATAATCTATCTCCTGGAGAAATCACTGTAAAATGTTAATGTTCTCCCTTACGGTCTTTTACCAGTGCGTGACTTTTAGAGGCTCACAAGCACACTAAGTCCGGTAGGGTCTCCCTGATTTTTTTCACATAACATTCTATCATGAGAGTTTTCAAGAACCATTAAATAATCCTCCATAACCTAATTTTAATGGCCATTTGGTATTGCATTGTATGTCTATATCATAGTTCATTTAAATAGTCCTCTATTATTTGACATTTAAGATGCTTTAAATTTTTAAGTTTTACAAATACTACTAAAATTAATACCTTTCTGCCTAAATGCACAGCACATTTGAAGTTATTTTCTTCAGATAAATCTCAGAAGAGAGATGCTGGAACTAAGGGTCTGGATATCTTTTAGGCTATTTTATTATCAAATGGGGCTGGAGCTTCCCTGAGTGAGGGTCCAGATTCACATGATGTCCAGGGACACTCATAGTCCTCCTTGAGCTCCAAGATACCCGGGAGCATGGACCCCCCCCCTTCCAGGTTGCTTGGCATTTTCTCTGGAGCAGGGAGGGGTTCATATACAGTAGTCTTTATAAAGATGTTTTCCATAGATTCAGTACCACAGATAGACCCTTCCCAGAAAAGTAGCATGATGCCTTAGAACAAAGGATGGGTGTTAACATCCTATCTGAGACCCCCAAGTGAAATATCATCCAAGAGAGAAAGAGAGAGAGAGCAACAGAGACAGAGAGAGACAGAGAGACAGAGACAGACAGACAGAGGGAGAAGGAAAGGGAAAGAGGTGCTTCTTCTGAAGGGGCAGGATAGACTTAGTAGAGGTTGGATCCAAGAGATGTAGCCCTCACCTTTGTTATAATCTATTACTATGCCTCTAGAGGGAGTCACAGGTACTGCAACATCTGAAGTTCACCTTTTTAGGTCTAAAAGTTGTTTTTACGTGGGCCCATCACAGTGATTTTGGGCCCCCATATGGAGGAGAAAGTACAGCATTTTAAACATCTGATGTCTAAGACTGTGCTTACTTGCTGCTCCTCCCACGCTGTCAGGCAAACACCAAACCAAACAGATGGGCTGTGCACTATGCCCAAAAGCCAGCGTGCTCCGGAGAAAGAAAAGAGGGCTCATCTCATCTCAGAGGTGCATCTCTCCATAAAGCTGAGCTGTCTCTGGGCCCTGTGGTGAACTGGAATAGGAGACTGTGGGACAATCTCAGTTCTTAAACTCACTTCTGAGAGAAGCATCATCTCTGGTGGGCCTTGAAATATTCTACTGAAGTTTCAGAGAACAAGAAACACTTTCAATTGCATGTGGAAGGAAGAGACTGAAGTTTTAAGTTTGAAGGGGTCTTGGAGAGAAAGACCCTTTTTAAGGAGTTACATGACTTGCCCAGCATCCTATTGAGGCCTCAAGCAGAGTCTGTGTTCTGTTTGTCCTGAAATCAAAGAGAGGAGTTTGCCTAATTTCCCCAGGAATGTCAGATCCAATGAATTTTTACTCAAAACTATTTAAACAACCACCATTACTGAGCATCACAGCTTCCTGTGCCGGAAGTTAAGGTAGCTTCCTATCTGCACAGAAGCCCACTGCCTCTGTGGCCCCTTCCAGATGTCTCTTTTCTAATCCTTGGTAAACTACTCTGGGAAGCCCTTTTTCTACTAGGGGCTTTCAAATATCTGTGACAATTAACGTATTTCCCACTGGAACATCCTGTAAGGAGACTATAAATAAGAACCCCAACCCTACTGTAGAACTAGGGTGCAACGTCTTCATTTTGGGTAGCAGCTGAGAAACGGTGCTGTGGAGATATTTATTTTCATTAATGCTGGAATTGGAAACCCTCCCCCTTCCCGCCCTGCTTCTTTGTGCACATGGGATGAGGTGGTCATCCCACACGCTCATCAGTAAGAAACTTTCTCGCCTCCCACACTTCATCCTAGAGTCTTTCTCCAAAGAGCTGAGTGTGGGAATTGGCTGCAAGTCAAGTTGACGTTATTTTTGCAATCCTCCAGCTAACTCACTTGGAAATGTCATAGTGTTGGGACATGTGCTTTCCCAGCCATGCTGAGGGGTCTGCCCACAGGGATGGGTGGAACTGTGCAAGTGTGCATGTATAGTTTATCACACATACACACACACAAACACAACACAAGACTCAGTCACTGCAAAGGAGCAAGCTCTGGTGCCTGGAGTGCTCCACAGGCATCCTTCCTGTCTGTTCCAAAGTTAAGCAAGTATTCACACATCACCTACACAGGGTCCAGAGCACCAGGTATGGTAGGCAGGATAATGGGGCCGCAAAGATGTTTGTGTCCTGATCCCAAGAACCAGCGAATTTGTTGTTGCTTGGTAAAGATGAATTAAGAGTGCTTTAAGGCCTCCCCAGTGGCACAGCGGTTGAGTGCTGGGTTGCGAAGCTGACCGCAGCCTCTGCAGCGCCGGTTCAATCCCCGGCTGCTCCCCGGCCACCGGAGGAGGATCCCACATGGCCGCAGACCTCTCTTGCCGCCCGCTGCTCCCCTCAGCAGTGTGCTTCGGTCCTTCTGCCTGCTCTGCTCCCCGCTCTGGCTCTGGTGAATTCTCTCACCCTCCCGTGCTTCTGACTGTACCCAGTGCTTGTATAAATAAATAAATAAATCTTTTAAAAAAAAAAAAAAAAGAGAGAGTGATTTAAAATAAGGAAGTAATCCTGGATCACCCAGGTGGGCCCAATGTTATCTCTTGGGTCTCTGAATGTAGAAGAGGGAGGCAGAATAGGAGGCCAGAGAGAGATGATATGGAAAGAATTCCTTCTGTCATTGCTGACTTTGAAAACAGAGGGACGAGCATGAACTGAGGAATGTAGGTGGCTTCTAGAAGCTGAAAAAGGCCAAGAAACAGATTTGTCCCCTTTAGTCTCCAGAAAAGAACATACCCCTTTAGACACCTTGATTTTAGCTCAGTGAGTATCAGTGAGAGTCCAACTTCTGACCATTAGGACTGTAAGACGCAAATTAATGTTTGTAACCATTAAGTGTGTGGCACGCTTACATAGGAGCTATAGAAAAGTAAAACAGCAAGGAAGGAAGGAGATAAAGGACAAAAAGAGAAAGAAAAAGTGTTGTTCTGGGCCACTTTATTTATGCATCCCTCACCCCAATTTCTAGAAAGTGGCTACACATATCTTCGAAATATGTTAGAAATCTCTGAAAGGTGATATGGAGAAACAGGATCTATTTTCCACTCCAGCTTCCCTCTTGCATTGTAGCAACATGCTATTTGAGGGATGCAATATACCTAAAACTCTTAGCATGATGTCTGGAAACCCTTTGCCAAATGCAACTGACAGCCTTTCCCAGAGCCTCCCAGGATGTAATCCCAGGCTTGACTATGGTGAAGCTGGATTAACAGCAAAGCTCTAAGTTTCTATGATTTAATGCCCTAATTGGATCTAGCCAAAGGTTGACTTTTCCTATACTTTCTAATGATTTATTGTTGGGGCTGGAAGTTTGATTGTCTGTTTGTTGTTGTTGTTGTTGTTGTGTGTGTGTGTGTGTGTTTTGATAGAAACACTAACTAGTTCCAACAACTTCTTTCTGCATTTCATGCCAGGCCTTTGTTCTGCCATATGGGCAACTGTGGAGGTTTCACATACCTGCTTAATTGCGTAGCACCCATCAGTTCTGGCTACAGACCCTCATTGCCCTTTTCAAGATATGTAGCGTTTATGGGTCTGCAAAGAGCCTGAGCTTCCAAGCTAAATCAAGTTTTAATCTCCAGCCAAGTTTTAATCTCCAGCCAAGATGTTTACTGAATTCTTCTGTCCCGGGTCTTTCCATACTCCAGTCCCTACTGTGTGGAAGTGCCTATAAGGCTGCTAAGGGCCAAGGTCCAGCTTTTCAGACACAATCTAACCTCCTCCCCTTTCCTTCCTTTGAATTACTGCTTCTCTCTAGTCATCCATGGTTTTTAAACCCAATTTGGCAGCTCAACAGACCTCGTGTTTGGTTCCCTCCATCGGGACTTCCCACTCATTCCAAACTTTGCTTCAGGATGAACTTTTGACATATTTCCTCTGTCTGCTGGTCCAGAGTCCTGAGTGACTGTTTGATTTTGGGCCTGCCTCCGCTGAGTCTCTACCACTGGGGAGACCAGACAAGTAGACATAGCCCAAGTCCTGATATTTCGCAAAGATTTCCCTTTTCAGAGGAAGTTCACCCAATTCCATTAAATAAACACTAACAGTTACCTGAAGGGTAGACATGACTTGGGACTTTTTAACTTTGATCTGCATTTACTTCATGAAGAGCTTGGGGTGAGTTCAGTTGTATCTAAGGAACCCTAGCTTCCAGGTTTTTCTTTGATCCTCAGATGAGATTTGTGCCTCAATCCTTCATCTTTTAGATGGAAAAATGATTGAAGCCATCACAAGGCATCAGCCCACAGGGAACCAAGCACAAATCCAGTGTCACCATCTTCAGGCCCCGCACGGGTCACCTGCCGGGTCTCTACCCTCCAGCAGCACGGCTGCCTGTGGACACACTCCATCTCAGTCGGGCACTTCTCTGTAGCCATGACATGTCTTTCCATTGAATTCCTATGAACACTACCACAGAGCAGGCACGTCATGTGTTCCCCGCCATCTGTCACAGCAGATGCGGAGACTGTAACACTTCTAGCTTAGGAGGGCATCCAACACCCTTGTGGGGTCTTTAAAATTCACAGCTAACAGTCGGAGCCTGTGCTTGCACGAAACCCCTCTTAAAGTCAAGATTTAGCAGTTGGTTGCTATAGCAACTTTCATCATCAAGTCTGAACTCCTTTCAATGTAGATGGCCAAACTGGTTTTGAGGAGAGATGCCGAAGAGGGAAGTTTGGTGGCTTCCGGAAATGAGGATCATTTGAGAGGCAAATTTTAGATATCCTCACTCTCTATCCTGATAGGTTTGGAAATTTCTCTTGTTTCTCTGACTTTGGGATACATATGCCATTAGAGGGAGAAAAGCTTTCTTTGTTGTCAGCAGTGTGTTCCCACATAGTAATGAATGATGGAAGCCTCATAAGGAGATAATGACTATGAAGGCAATTTGAAAAAGGTAAGTGTGCTGTACAAATGGTAGCTATTGCCATCATTGGGAAAATCGGGCTCTGCTTGAACTCTAAATTGTGGCTGCATTTTCCTTTACATGTTATGTGGTAGCTAGATATAGAACATGGAAGAAGTGTTACAGGGCAGGGTGAGGGGCACCCCAGAACCCCCAAACCTGCCTGCTCTCCATAGGTTCTTCCATCCACCACATTAAGACAAAGCATACTCTCATGTTTAAGACCTTTAATGGAAAGGAACCTTAATACAATTGGTATGCAATAAAGAGAAGAGAAGGGTAAGAATAGATAAAATAGTTTCCAAATCAAGCATCCAGAGTTACCCATCCTCATGTGGGTAAATGCCCAGCCAAACAGGGTTGGCCTGAAGCAGGGCCACTGAGGCCCGAAAGCTTGCCACAAGTCTAAGGGACCTCCTGGTGGCACCCACAGGAAAGGGGCAGAAGGCCCCAGTATGACTAGAATAGAAGGAGTAAAATCAAAATCAAGATGAAAGCTGCCATTATTAACCTCCCCATATCTGTTCCAACCAGTCCAGGACCAAGAAGCAAGTGCAGCTTCTTCACATGTCTCTGCTCCATGTGCCTCCTCCAGGTCTCCTTCTTGCTCTCCATCCTGCTTGCTCCTTCAGTCTCCTCCCCAGCTTCTCCTCCTCCCTGATCGGCTACACCTTTCCTTGGCCAGAACACGGAACCTGGAACCTCCCCTTTTCCTGGGGACCCCCCTGTTACAGAAGGACTCCCATTTTTGTCAATCCTTAATTTCAGACAAGGCTCCAGCTAAAACCATTCTAAAAGTCAGTGATGATTTGACAATGTTTTGAGGCTACATGTTGATTTTGAAATCATACCATTCCTAATGTCCACAGGGCTCTCAGGGGAGGCTCTCCCTAAGGAAGGAGCATATCTAGGCCCTTGACTAGGTAGATGTCTGTTTGTTGGGGAGAGGCAGTGGTGGTGTTACCTATAAATGAAGGTAAACTGTTTAATGAATTAACTTACATTCCATTACACAGAACTTATTAAGGTTTTACTCATGGGGCAAAACTCATTTTTGCCTTGGTATCAATTACAGTCTTTCTCTGGAATTGAAAAGGGATGAAGCTCAGCTACTAGCATTTTCTCTCTTGCTCACCTCTGACACTTACCTTCTTGATCTTTCTTTCTATCAGAGAAACTGTCTTGTGAAAGCCTTATCACTACTGCCTAGCTTCAAGTGGTATTTTCCTATACTGGACTTGTAGCTACCTCCCTGAGCATCCCCACATACAGCCCAGCACCATTGATGCCAGTGGATTTGAGCCTGTCGTAAATCTAGGCCAAGATGAAGCCTGTCCTTGCTACATAGAAGGCCAAGTACTGATCTAATACTCTCTGTGACTGTCCCCAAACTCAGAAGTTCCTTGTTTTTACCACACTCCTCAGCACCTTCAGCTGAGTAGGTGAAGGGAAAGAAAATGAGTGTTATCAGGTAGTGAGACCTGATGAACAGGAGCTTATAGGTCAATCTTGAGATTGATAGCTGAGCTAAGATCCTTAAAAAAATTCTTGCCCACACTGTCTTTTCCCTGGTAACCATGAGGACCTTCACTTCAATTGGATTGGTTTTGTCTTTGAAAAGAGTAATTAGCATTCAAAGCTATTATTCTATTTATATCCTTTTGAGGTGACTCTTCCTTGGGAGATAAATGTATGCCCATACATGACTCCTTTGTTATTTACAAATCTCAGGAAGTCACACCTTGTTTTTTCCTTACCTACAAATTAGCCAGTCAATGAATGAGTTAACACTGGTGCTTTAGCAGAAGCAGCCTCAGTGGCTTCGAGATATATAACATTGCATAAGGAATTTTTCATATAAGAAGAAGCAACAATTTTCTTCAAGATCAGTATGAAGTAGAGCAATGATCTTAATCTTTTGGGGGTCTTGGGTTTGCTTGTGAAGCAGATGAATATTGTGGAATCCTGCTGCAGAAAGATGAGCATATGCCCATATATAGTTTTGTATACAATTCCAGAGAGGTCATGAACTTCTTAGTTTGCTAATGAAATAACTGATGATATGAAACATAGTAATATCTAAACACATATAGAATTATAGTGGATTCTTCTGTTTACCAGTTCTAAGATAATTAGCCTTTCTCCCTTAAAAACTAAACCCAGAGTTCCTATAAAACCACAATAGGTAAAAATGGCTTTCTCAAAATAGTTGTTCCATGGCCTAGCAGCATGGCATGGTGGGAAAAAAAGGTTTGGAGTCTGACAGACACCCGTTCAGATAGTAACTCTGCCACTTATAAGCTACCTCCAGAGCCCGGCATTTTCTGAATCTCAGTTTACCTATCATCATGACTAGTATATCTACTTTTCAAGATACTTAGAAATATTGGATGAAATTACTCCATTATATCATCCTTAAACATTTATCAATCACCTTCTATATACCTTATGGTACACTGGGCCTTGAAAAACTAAAGATGAAAAAAATCCCCTTACTCAGAGTTCTTAGTATTTGTGTGTACAGAGCTCAACTAATAGGTGCTTTATAAATATTCAAGTCCCCACTAGTGAAAATTATCACGTAGTGGGAAAGGGAGAAATTAGTGGTTCCTTCATGTGAGCAGTGGAAACAGGAATGTTTGACATTAAGGGATTTATCGTCTCATACATGTCACCCTTAGAGAAAGAGTTTAATCTGATGAATTCATACTAATTTTCTCAAATGCAGACATGTTAATCAATTCCTTCATGTTTCCTTTCTTCCTCTCTACCCTCCTTCTAAGGGGAATGCCTCTGCTATGAAGGTTACATGAAGGATCCAGTGCACAAGCACCTTTGCATTCGGAACGAATGGGGAACAAACCAGGGGTAAGTGAGGGGTCCCAGGAGTCACAGCTCCCTCGCGTGCACAAGCTGGGGAGCAGCTGTGTGCAGAGGAGCAGTGCTACAGGGTGGTTATATTCTGAACAGCGCATGGGTAAAAATGTCACCGTGCATTTCCATATTTATACCATTCCAATGACGTCCATATCATCTTTTTCTCCATTTATGAGTTCAGAGATGAAGCCTCTGACTCGCAGCCCCGCAGCCTCCAGCTGGGATCTGAGAATCAAGCTGTCCCTCTCTTCCTTTGCATACGGCCGCCAGCCACGAGGATTCCACAGGCAGAACTTAGCTGGTGATTTTGTTGGAGACACAAGAAGCCAAGCAGACGCCAGTGTAGTGCTGAGCATTATTTGTGAGACTGACATAAGTAGAAACTTGTTTTCACCAGGACCATCAGCAGGGGGGAAATGCAAAGGCTCATGGAGTGCTTGGCATTGAGTCAGAGTATTGTTGCCTGATTCCCACTGGACATTTCTCTATGAGACCTTTGCTTTCCCCCATGCACGCATGCCTGGGGTAAAATAGATCACTTGTCATTTGCTTTTGATCTTGTTTTTTCACTTTTTAAATTTTTTTATTGTGATAAAATATACATAACATAAAACTTGCTATTTTAATCATTTTAAGTGTACAACTCATCAGCACGGAGAACATTCATTTTGTTGTGCAACCATCACCACTATCCTTCATTCTGTTTTTTTTTTTCTTTTTTAAAAAAATTATTTCAGTGTGAGCATTTTTAATATAATTTTAAAATCCAGTTATGTGCATTGTACTACACTTGATCAACTTCCCATGTTGTTTTGGGTGCTGAGAACTTGCTTTTTTGCATTGGCCATGGAGGTGGATGTGAGGGGAAAGGGATCAATAAATGCTAACTGATAATAACAATCAATGGAACAGGAAAAACTAGAACGAAATCAAGGCAAAAGCCATCTTGGAGTGATTGCTTAGACTGCAGATTTGAAATCTGTCTGCAGCCTGACAAGGTGGAAAAAGGAAGCCAGCATCATTTCACACATTGCCATGGAAGGCTCGTACCCCCGAGGTCGACCATCAGCCTCTTCTGTATGATTCTGATGAGACCAAGCCTAGAATATTGAATGCAATGCTGGACTCTCAAAGCAATAAATATGGAGACAAATGGGTGAGAGTTTGGAGAAGAGCAATAAAAGTGATTGAAGAGCCCAAGAGAGTGATTGATGGTGAAGGGCTAGGAGAGCTCAACTCTGAGAACTTGGCCAGCTGATGACTAAGTCAAGGCATGATAGATGCCCCTGGGCGTTAGAAAAGGGCAAATGTTCTGGAACGGGTGGAAGTTGAAGAATAAGGCAAGAGAGAATGAACTTAGGGAAAGGAAATCTGAGTCGTAGGTCAGAAAACTTGGACAAGTCAAAATTACCATGAGATCTTTCTGTTAGTGAAAATGAAGAATTGCTTGAATTGCTACTAAATTTGAGATCATAATAGGGAAGCAGACTGCAAAATGTAGAGGGAAATGTTTGTGGAAGGGAAAATACACTTGAGGTGGCCCGTTGTTGAAAGATTGGAAGGACGGACAGGGGACTTGGCTAATGGATGTCTAGTGAGGGTAGTAATAACCCCCCCATACTCTATTTAAGTGGGGCTAGTCCTCATTCTCTCAGATTTCTGAAATGTTAAAATAGGTGCAGGGTTTTAGCTTATATGATGACCGAGTATCTCCATTGACTGTGATTCTTATTGAGTAAAATATTGTATAGAGTGATGGATAACCAACTCCCTCACAGCCTGCGCACTTGCTGCAGCAGAAAACAACTACAAAATATCATTTTGTGGTTTTTGCCCTGAATGATTCGGGCTGGCTCTCTGCAGTGATTGGATTTGGGGGCTAATCACTCAAGCCTCCACATCCCTGGCCTTGTAGACATGGAGGACGGGCCTGACTTCACTTGGTAATTGCACAAACCTTCGTCATTCCCTCTGGCTGTGTATAGAGACAATCTGAGGATGTAGACAAGAGCCTCCAGGGAAATGGTGGATGCTCACATTGGTGTCATTTAAAACAAGGCAGGCTAAAGCACTGAGTTACAGACTGACAGGAACATTAGCCCCAGGAAACAGACAAGGAGACCTAATCTGTCATTTCCATCTCTAATTTCCATTATTCTCTGATCATCACTGTCTACAAGGTCTCATTTTGGACACTAATAAAATAATGGAGCAACTATTAGGAGGGGGAGAAATGTGACTATCTTGAGGATAATGGAACCAGGAGTGATAAGCCGCGTGAGTTTATGTGTATATAAAAAAGTGCCAGACAAATGACTGCATTTTCCTTATAAAATGACAAGATGAATGAAAAGTGGAAAATGCCATACATCTTGATTTAAAGCAGGATCTGATGTTTCTTTGAATGATTCTTACAAAATTAGTCAAAATTGTTTTGAACATGAAGACTGTCACTTGAATTGCAAACTGCCTGACAGATTGCCAACTAATGATACACATTGGGGCATTATGGGAAAATCAATGGTGGGCCTGATTTTCCCGAATATTTTAATGTTCCAGAAGGTGGAGGTAAACAGAGTATTTGTTTCCCATCTAGCATTCTTATATTGCTTACATTAAAATTAGTCGAACTTTCTTTTGAAGTACAACTACCAGATCCTAGACCAGTAATAGTTCAAATGAATTCCCTTGTGAAAAATCTAGGTTAATGTACCAGGTGGAAAGTAGCAATAAGCATTCATGACTTTCAGACAAGGGAGAAAATTGATCAAGGATATTAATGCAAAAAAATTACAAATGGATGATTCTGTGAGGCAGAGAAGTCACACCTGTAACTTTATCCAACTTCTGCCTCTTTGGTTCCAGTTTACCTGAACCTGTGTGTGTGTGTGTGTGTGTGTATGTGTGTAGAGTCTCATCAATGCATGGTGTGTGTGTGAGGGGGAGGGATGTAAGCCGGATGGTCTGTAGAAACCCTATCTATAGAAACCACATGCCATCATTTATTCTCTTAGTTATTCATGTTCTCAGCAAATATTCATTTCATGACTTCCTGTGACCCAGGGTATGCTAGGTAGCTAATTGCAAGATGTGGTCTTTGCTCTGGAAAAACTAATGATTTAGATCAATAGATGGGCACCTAACAAATAATTCCAATGAATTAGAAGACCTACTAAAATAAAGTGTGAGCACAGGCTTATGGATTTTTAGTTTATGGAATTATTTCTGGGAGGTCTGAGAATCTGGAATAGGGTTTTGTGGAAAAGTTCAATTTTGAACTCTTCTACTGACAGATAGCAAAGGTAATTCTAAGCAATGGAAATAGCATATGCCAAGGCATAGAAGCCTAAGAAGTCTGTTTTTCCATTAATGGCAAATAAATAGCTCAAGTCAGCTTATGAGTGTAGTTTACAGAACCAAGAGAAGAGGCCTCTAGTGGGTAAAGACTAGATCTTGAGGAAGTCTTGCTTACTAAGGATTTGGATTTTAAACTCCATTATATGAGCCTAGAATTGTGAGCAGGAGGGAGAAGTTCAAGGTTTTTGTATACTTGATGGGACCTTTCTTCACTTTATTTTCATTTTTTTGGGCCCATCCTAATAAACTAAAATAATCCAATGAAGAAAGTAAATATCATCACAAACAACATCACAAAACAAAACAGAACCACCTTTTGAGACTATCTAGATGCTTTACTCATATGGATTCTGCAAGTAAAGCATATTCCAAAATTTTCAGCAAAGAATGAATAGAATCAGGGACCTGTATACAAGGTTTGTGATTCAAGGGAGTTGCAAACTTTCCCTGGTGACTCAGGTTCTGCCACAAATGCCCGAGGAGAGGCAAGGCAGGTTGAGACAATGGTGTGTGGACCCTGGTGGCGAAGCCAGTCGCCTCAGCTCACTCAGAGGCACGATCCAGGTGGCAAAGTGGAAAATCATTGAACTTGCTACACAAGAGGTTCTTATTCCCTGAATGTAAAAATAGCCTCCAAAAGATTTAAAGTCATGGATGGCAGATTTTGAATGAGTTATTAAAAGAACATGGGATGTTGGAGGTTACATCCTAGGTCATTGAAGTGGGCAACAAGGCCAGAGGTTCCCTGCCACCACTTCCCCACCCCCCAGTGACCCAGCAGCCCAATAGAGGACCCCAGATGAGGGGGCCTACCCCAGTGTGGCTCTGCAGTGCTTTCTGTCTAATCTGCAAGAAGCCACTGAATAATTCCTCAGCCTCCCACCCCCGTGGCTGCACACACACATCCAGGGACTGTTAGAGTCTATTTAATATTTGTTTGCCAGGACAACAAGGACAAATTGAAAATTTTCGTAGATGAAAAATGAAAACAATAAATGAGGGTGGAAAAAGCAAGGGAGATAGATTTACGTGAAAATATTAGAGAAAAAAATACGAATTCATTTAGCTATTTTGGAGAACATTATTAAGAAAGGCTACAATAATTTTTTGGTGGGGGCTAAATTAGAAATGTACCCAAGGGCCTCTAGATGCGTTTTTCAGAATACAACAATTAGATTAAATTCGTGCATTTGAAGATTGCCGGTAAATAATAGTCTAATTTCTTATTCTGGCAGCTGAGATGCAGAGGGCAGCACCAAGGAGATTCCCCACTAGAGAACTGTAACCTAACGCTGGATTTCTTTGCTGAAGGATGGTGATAGAGTGATAATTCATGAGACAGGAAGAGACCCGCTGTGGAAAATGAGCAGGTGTTTCTCCGAGGTTTACAGAGCTGTTGTCAGGGATGGTCCTGCTCATCAGAACACCTACTCATTTCACTGCCTACTCAGGAGGCAACACACTTAACATGACACCCCCAGATTAGTGGATTAGCACGCATGCGCACTCACACACACACATACACACACACACTCACGCACATCCCACGCTGTCTTAATACAGAATGTCCTTTCCATTGTCCCAGGTGCTTACTGTTCTGTCCTATTTCTGCAGCTGCGCCCTGCTGCTCTCCC